GGGCTGCAGGAGCAGGGCTCGGTGCCGTCCCTGGGCCTGCCGAGCTCCGGGCTGCGTGGCCAAGCACATGGTGATGCCGGCGGGAGCCAAGTCTTTGAAAGAGTTGGGTCCCACCGTGCCAAGGCAGAGACGGGCCAAGTGTTGTGTCGGGCTGAGCGCGGCGCAGCTCTCCCCGCAGCAGCCGGCATCGCCGTGATCCCCGACACACCGAGCTGGGGAAAAAACCCCTCCCGGGAGCTTCCTCCTGGAGCTGAGCTCTGTGGTGACTCCAGCTCTAATCCCAGGCTGCAGGGCAAGGGCTGGAACATCCATAGGTTTGGTTTAAATTCTTCCCTTGGTGTTTTTTTGTGAGTACCCCCCCTCCCGGCAGGGATGCTGGATGGGTGGTTCCCTCCCTCAGCTCTGTCTCGTTCTCCCAGCTGAATTTGCTTTTGATGAGGTGCAAGAGTGTGCTGGAAGCTCCTGTCAGGTGGCTTCGGCCTCCCACCGGCAAGCGGGCGGTTAGCACGACTGCACTAATGGCAGGAGATGAGAGGAAGTGATTAACTTGCTTGAAAAATCGCACCAAGTGCATTTAGCGGACCCGCAGCGCCGGCGCCGTGCGTCACTGCATGCCAGGCAGGGGCATCGCCCGCTGTCCCCCTCACCGGGGCTTTGTGTCTCGTCCTGTAGCCGTCCCCCCCCCCAGCGACTTGTTGCCTTTTCTCTCTGCTGTTAATCGTGAGCTCTGCGTGGCAAAGCTTGCCCGCGGTTTCCGAGCTGGCGTGGGAATGCCTGGGCTGCTGGTGGGAATCCCTCGTGGCCATCCCCGGGAGCGGGGACGCAGCCTGTGAACGGCCTCGCGTGCGACTCCTGGCTCTCATCTCGGGGTTGCCGGTGGCCATGGGTCAGGCTGGAAGGTTCTGCTGACAAAACCCCCCTCCACGCTGCTCCTTCCCATTTCTGCCGTCACGGAAGCAATCGTGGTGGCCTTGCTCTGTTCAGTGTCATCCCTTAGTGTCTTGTTGGAGGAAGAAATGGGCTTGTTGGGAATTGATTTTTGATCTCGGAGTGTGTGAGTCCCCTCCAGCCCACCCTCCTCCTCCTCTCTGCCAGCCCCCCCTCACCCCCAGCCAGCTCCACGGCCTCCCCACGCCTCGTCCCTCTTTCTCTGCTTGCAGAGAGATGAGAATGAAGAACGGATGCGGAGCCCTGACCACAGGGCTCAGACCAGGTCCTGCCTCCAGCCAAGCAAATACGTGGAGCTGTGGGGTCTTTGGTGAAGGCTGGAGCCTGAGCCCCCACTCCGGGGGGGCCAGCACCCGCTCTCCCAAGCTTCCCTCGTTGCTCCAGCCCCGGGGTGGTTTTGCACAGCATCTTCCCTGCCCTCTGCCACATCGAGAGCAGGTCTGGGGGCTGTTTCCTTCCAACCAGACGCAGCTCTTGCCTGCAGAGTGACCCTGTTCCCCCCCCATCACCCCCCCATCCTCCCTGTCCTCCCACACAGCCCCTCTCCCCCCCTCCCTCCCTCTGCTCTGGGCTAAGAGAAACCATCGAT